GTCTGCCTTGCCTTTATTTTTTTTAGTTAGGAAAAAGGCAAGTGGTTTAGTTCATATTTAATGAGGGTAATTATTCTTACTGCTTTGCTTTCACTGTTTATCCTAACCCATTTTAACGATAAATAACTGCTTGTTTATTGGGGCCTAGGGACCAGGGATAGTTGTAGGAAAAATCCCCATCATGATTTTGGAGAGGAAAAATATTCTCAAATAGAAAAATTGGATGAAAAAAATGCACATTTAAATAAAGGCCTTCCTGTGTTTTTTATATTTGCAGTATTTGTTAAAAGCCAAAATGCATTGTTAAAATATGCCTTTATTTGAATTTAATGATTTGTTTTTTATTACAATTTTAGTACATGCTTTTTGAAATAACAAAATTTAGGGATGCCTGGGTGGCTCAGTCAGTTAAGCCCTTGCCTCTTGATTTTGGCTCATGTCATGATTTCAGGGTTGTGAGATCCAGTTTGGCTCAGTGCTGGGCATGGAGCCTGCTTAACAGTCTCTCACTCCCCCCGGCCCGGGCTAGCACACGCATGTTGGCTCTCTTAAAAAAAAATCATGACGAATGAAGAATTAAAATGAGTCTGCTTTGATCCTATTCCCTAATCCCTGCCTCTTCTCAGAAAGAATGTCTCTTTTTTGTGTATCTCTTTCCAGACCTTTTTCTACATATTTTCATATATACAGGTCTTTAAAAACAAATGGCATATGTAAGATACATATTGTTTTATATACAATGTTCTATGAATTTTTTCACCACTTCTCATTGTGTGTCACTACATAAAGATTTACTTGTTTTTAATACTCTTTTGGACGGATGTGCTATAATTCATTTAACTGTTTCCCTATTGATGAATATTTAGATTAGTCTTTCCAATATTTTGTTAAGAGTTTTTTCATTCAGCAAATGTTTGTTGACTGTCAGGCAGTGCTAGTGAACAAAACACAAAAATTTCTGCTCTCATGTGGCTACATTCTTTTGGAGGTGGCCAGACAGTAAATGAATAAAATAAATATGTCATGCTACTGAGCACTGTGAGGTAGAGAAGGAGATAGGAGTGCTGGAAGTCGGTGGGGGTAGTGGGTGCATTTTAACAAAGGGTGGTCAGGAAAGGATTACCTATAGGTGACGTTTGAGTAGAGATCTGGTGAAGGTGAAGTAATGAACTCTGAAGCTCTTGGTGCCGGAGAAGCATTCTAGGAAGGGAAGAACAAAGGTCCTGAGGTAGGGGCATGCCCAATGTCTTCGAAGGGGAAGAGCAATGAGGCCATTATGGCTGGAGAGTCAAGGACCATTCTGTAATTTTAGGTCTGAACTGTTGTAAAGGTAGAGTTGGAAAGACTATAGCAGGCAAGACTTTGGTTTGGGTACATTACATTTGAGAATCTATTAACATCCAACCAGAGAGGTATTGAGTAAGCAGTTGGAAATGTGATTTGGAGTTCATGGGGAGGTCAGAGTTGGAGATAAAGACCTGGGAGTCATCAGTATATTAATGCAATTTAAAATCCAGAGCTCACCTAGGGAGTAAATTAGAGGGGAAAAAAGAATCAAGGACAGCCTGTGGGCATATCAAGGGTAAGAGGCTGAGGATATGAAAAGGATGCAGCAAAGGAGACCAAGAAAGCATCCATGAGGTAGGAGGGAAACCAAGAAAATGTGATGCCCTGGAAACTAAAGGAAGGGAGTGAACAATGTCAAGTGATGAGAACTGAGAATTGACCATAGAATTTAACAGTGTGACTATGTGGGTGACCTTGACAAGAGCAATTTTGAGTGAGAAGGAGGGGACCTGGTTGTAGCAGATTCAAGGAAGAATGGAAGGAGAGGAATTGGGACTGTTGGTATAAGCCTGTCTTTCAAGGGTTGGAAAATGTTTTTTTTTCCTCTGGAGGGGATATGAAGTCAAAATGTTTCTTTTGTTGTCAAAGATGGAGAAATAAAATGTGGTAAGCTTATGGTTAATGATAGAGCAGAAGGAAAAACTGATGCAAGAGAAAGTGGGAGAGATTGAGAGAAGAGTTCAAGGTGTCCATTTTAATAAATTTGTATGTATGTATGTATACAAGGATTTCTCTAAGCTAGATTCTTAAGACTGCCTGAGTCAAAGGGTATGTACATTTAAAAAATCTATACCAGTTTACATTCCACCTTCATTGTATACCCTTGCCAACACTGAACTTTGCTAATCTTTAACATTATTGCCATTCTGATGGGAGATATCTGTATTATTTTAATTTGTAGGAATTCTTTATATAATCTAATTCTTTATTATTGGCAAATATTTTTCCCAGGCTGTTTCTTGCCTATTAACTTTGCTTATGGCACACTTTTACCATGTACATTTTTTTTTCAGTTTTTTATGTAGTTAAGTCTGTCCCTCATTTGCTTTTATAGCATTTGGGTTTCATATGGATTATATAAATATTTTAATAATCTTTTAATATGTTTATACATTTACCTTTTTAATTCATCTGGAGTTTATTTTTGTGTATGTTATGACATAGGTATCTCAGTTTTTCATCTTTTTCTGTGTTCTTAAACAGTTAAATACTATAGAATTAACTGTTTCTTAAAGGTTTGAAAGAAATTACCTGTATCTTCTAGACTTGGAGCCTTTTTGGAGGGTAGATCTTTGACCTTAAAATTTTTGTTCTGTGGTTAATCTATTTGTTTTACATACTTCTTTTTAGGTTAATTTTGGTAATTTTTTCCCCCCGAGCCCCTCATTCTTTTCATCCAGATTTTCAAATTTATTGGCTTAAAATTCTACGTAAGGAGAATAAGCACTAAATCTTCCCCATATTTGCAGTATATCCCTTGTACTTACACCTTTATCTGGGCAGCAGCTGCTGGAGCCTTCCAAGATCTAGAGATTTTGGTTTAGCTGTTTTCAGCCCTTATGCCCTAGTTCTTAGTGCCTTTCATCTTGGAGTTAGTTATACATTCACCTTCTCTTTTGTTTGTGGGGGATTGCAGGCTCCTTGGTCTCTTTTCTTAACACGCTGATCCCATTTGCTTTTTAGCTTACAAAAATTTGTGCTGTTGATGTCTGCTGATGGATACATGCCCTTTTTGGTTTCCAACATTACTCTGGACTTATTTTTGGATTTCTTTTGTCATTTGGAGAGATTTTGGGAGGGATGAGAGGCAAATACATATTTTTAGTTAGCCTTTTGAAACAAGAAGTCACAATTCCTTCCTGTGTGGTTTTCTTTTATCAGGTCCTTTTTTCAATTGCTGGTTGCATAGTAGTTAGATAGTAACTTTACAGCCCAAGCAGTGATAGCCAGATAGACTTCACTTTTTTTTTTTTAATGAAACCAGATGACTCAGCAGAATGTACTTGTTGAATAGAAATGTTGACACATTGTCAATAAATATTCCAATAGTACTTTTTTAAAGTTAAGTGACACAATCGTAACATTTAGAATTATAAGGGACTTTACAGATCATTGACCAACTGCCTTATTTTATGCATGAAATATTTGAGGCCCAGAGATTTTCAGTGATTTATCTAAGGTGACGAAATCAGTGATCAAGCAAGACAGAAAGCCCAAGTTTCTTTACTTCAATTCTACTATGCTTTACTATTTTACACATTCTTGGTTGTTCTATTTATCTTTGTAATGAAAGAGGTATTTTCATTGTATTTAAAAAATACGTATATTTTTTAAATCTACAGATGGTACGTATGGCTTGGAATTGCTTCTGAAAATTTGGTCTTAGATATCATATTAAATATGTTGGTGTGGATTTTGGTTTTTCTCACATAGATATTATGTATTATATAAATGTGAATTTTATTTTTTTATTTTTTTAATTTATTTTATTTTATTTTTTTAAAGATTTTATTTATTTATTTTACAGAGAGAGAGAGAGACAGTGAGAGAGGTAACACAGCAGGGGGAGTGGGAGAGGGAGAAGCAGGCCTCCCGCCAAGCAGGGAGCCCGATGCGGGGCTCGATCCCAGGACCCTGGGATCATGGCCTGAGCCGAAGGGAGACGCTTAATGGCTGAGCCACCCAGGCGCCCCATAAATGTGAATTTTAAAAGAATGGGCTGTCAAGATATACTCTAGCCTAAATGAAAATCATATTGTTTATTTTTCCCAAGTTTCCTCTTTTCTGCTGGTAGACTTTATGTGATTTATAGACTCTCTGAATTTGTTATTACAATTTTAAAGAGGCTTAAAAAATATATATAAATGTAAGTATAGGCTTAAAAATGATTTTAGTGATAGTCATAAGCTATTTCAGACCTAGGTTTTCTAATTTTTTATTTTATTTTATTTTTTTCTAATTTTTTAGTTTAATATACCATGCTGCTAGATCAGCACCTAAATTAGTTAATTAATTTATAGATTTTATTTTATTTATTTGACAGAGAGAGATATCTAGAGCAGGAACACAAGCAGGGGGAGTGGGAGAGGGAGAAGCAGGTTTCCCAAGGAGCAGGACGGGACCATGGGATCATGATCTGAGCTGAAGGCAGACGCTTAACAACTGAGACACCCAGGTGCCCCTCAACACCTAAATTTAGAAGGGCTAAAATTTTTCAAAGTTTTTCAAAGAAAGAGCTTATCGTTTTTTCAACAAGCATAAAGGATAGGATATACTCATTGTACTTTCATAGCTTTGGTTGGTCTTTAATTTCAACGGGTTTTTTATTTTTTGTAAGTTTTTAAAATGTGGGATTTTGATTACTGATAATCCATCTTTGGTCTTTTGTTCTTGAAAGGCACTGAGGCTCTGATACGTGCAGCATTAGTGGACTTGGGTGGGTTCTCTTCTCCCCCTGCCACCTTGAACAATTTGAGGATGCAAAGTGAATGTAGTTGCTCTAGAATTATATTTTAAGATTTGTATAGTTATCTTTAGGTTTTAACTCTTTTAGTAATTTTTAAATGCATGATATAACTATTGATTTTGTTTTTGTAAACTAAAGAGCAATCTCTGTCTTCCACAAATTCTAAAAATTTAATTTTTTTTTCCAGTTGGTCATAATGGCAGGTGAAGAAATTAATGAAGACTATCCAGTAGAAATTCATGAGTATTTATCAACATTTGAGAATTCCATTGGTGCTGTGGATGAGATGCTGAAGACCATGATGTCTGTTTCTAGAAATGAGTTGTTGCAGAAGGTATTTTAAAAATGTAATTTCTAAAAATGTAATTCATAAAACAGAGTGCTATGTTATGAAAATATAGAAGATACAGATTAATGACATATGTTCCTTTTCCCCTTAATTTCAATTTTATAAGTGTTTGGTATTTTTAGGGGGAAAAAACAAAACAGAACTCCAACCTTAGGAAATACTTCCTAACTATATATTTTTTTTAACTATATTTTTATTTTGACTTGGTTTTGAGAAAAAAGGAGCTCTTAACAACATTCTTTTTGACAGACTCTATCTTTGACCTTTTAAATATTATAATGATGTTATCAGGGTTTCTGGAAACCCTATAGGACAAAAAGAGTAAATTGACTTTGACAGTCTAAAACAAATCTCATTATGTTTCTTCTGTCTTTGGTATTGCCTAAGCATTTTAGCCTGCCTCTTATACATAAGTGCATCATGTACAGTGTTTATATTGATAAATTACTTTTGACATACAAAACCCAGATCGTAACTCCTGAAATTAAAATAATTGAAAAGAATTTTGCTTGGATTATACACATTCCTTGTCTAAGTAAAGTTGATACCCTGAAGTGAAAATCTGTGGGCAAAAATCACTGGTTAATAAAACTTTTTCTTTTTGCAAATTATTTCAGGATCATTTGGTTATTGGATTATAGGAAGGGAAAGAAACATCTCTTTGATACATTGTATTTGGTGAAAGTTTATGTGATGGTGCTCAAAATTTGTATGTATTTCTTTTTTCTTTCTCTCTTTTTTTATAGTTGGACCCCCTTGAGCAAGCCAAAGTGGATTTAGTTTCTGCTTACACATTAAATTCAATGTTTTGGGGTATGTATATTAATTTGGAGTTAATTAGCAAATTATTTATTGTGTCAAAGGTGATTTATTTTTTAAATGCTAGCACTTTATATACGGTTATACTTTATGGCAATTTTAATAGTCAGATATTTATTTCTTTTAAGTCAGAGTACCAGATATCCTTGAGGCACATAAAAATTTACTATTACATAGAGGTTGAATAATTTAAGACTTAATTAATCATTTTTTGTGACATTTCTTTTTTGTGAGTAACTAGTTTCTTTAATTAATGCTCTTAATTAATATATATGCCATTTCATTCCATGAAATCTTTGTCTTGTAGTTTATTTGGCAACTCAGGGAGTTAATCCTAAGGAACATCCAGTAAAGCAGGAATTGGTAAGATTGCAGTGGATTTCTTTTTATTTGACTCTTTGTTTGTTGTGGTATTCCTGAAGTCAAAGTCATAGTACCTTTATCATACTAGCTGTGGAGAACAAAATTATTTAGAGTCCAAATTATGAAAGTGAGCCAGATTTCCTTATGTCTTTTCCTTACCTTTGTCAGGGAAATGGTGTTCCATATATTATATAAATCTCTGGATGGGAAAATGTTACAATTCAAGTAATTTATAACTTCCATATTATTTTTTCTATAAATTCTTGAAATCCTGTTCATCTCTACAACTGCCTTTTTTTTTTTTTTTTAAACTCTTACACAATTCTTAAAAGTATATTCTAGTTGATTTACTAGCAAAGACGGGAAAGTTTCTCCCCCACTTTTCAATTTTTCCATTAATTCATTTTCTCAGCAGTAAAGAATCCAGTTCAGCAACAAAGCTAAAAGCTTTTTTGGCACCAGTTGTATGTGTACTGTCCAGTAATTCTGCATTACTGACATATTTACAACCTGTAATAAATCTTCTAGGTTTGTCTTTGTATTCCATTTAGATGTATAAGTACAGTATATAAGGTCTAGTATCTTGAAGTTTTTGCTGACCTCAAAAATTAAATCATTCAATATGAAAGAAAAAATTAGAAATCTAACTTACAGTAACCTTCTTGACTTGGCTTTATGAATAAGAATGTTAATAAATTTATTCTTTGTGTTTATAAGATATAAGGTAAATATATGAAATACACTTGACACTGTATTATTATTCTCAAGTCTTATGGTGGTTGATATGTATGTTATTTACAACTTAGTAGAATACTTGGTCATTTATTTATAAAAAAATGAGTAAACCAGATATCTTCATTTTATAAATATATGGACTAATGCATTGTCTTCTTTTAAAGTTCTTGGGGGAAAAACAAATTTATTTTTAAATACAGAAATTGTGAAAAATATTTAAAGCAAAAATGTAAAACAATATGAGGCACAGATCTTGATTTGACCGGTGATACTGACTTTAAAATCTTAAGAAGTGTGCCCTGTATCATCTGTTTTCAACTTTCTAATATGGACTTTACATTTATAAGGTTTCTCATTTTTCCTTTAATACAAACTTATTTGTAATGTCTTAATACTTGATTCTGTCATTGGAAATGGATAAAATCATCATCTGTCTTTTTTCTCTGTCAGAACCCACTTTATGGAGGAGTACATTCATATTCTGGACGATGGTTGGCACATAAAAAGCTTACATAAACCCATTCCCCTTTTCTGACCTTGTGACAGACATCACTAATTGATCACAGAGTTAGTGTGTGAGAGGAAACCTATTTGTCATATATATCATGAATGGGGAAAGGCATTGAAAATAGTCAATTTATTTATTCAACAAATAATTGCGTGCCTATTGGAAGCCAGGCATTATATCCAAGTGAGATGGTTCCTCTGTGAATAAAGCTGATAAATACCACTACCCTTGTGGCAGATGCCAGACTATCTAGTGGAGGGAGACAAGCAATTAACATAAACTAATAATAAATACATATAGATATATAGTATGTTAGAAAGTTATATGTTATGGGAAAAAGATAGCATAGGATGAGGGGTATTGGAGTGCTTGAGTAGGATTGCCATTTTAAATGGTAAAGGCAGGGCCTATTAACAAGGTTAACATTTGAGCCAGCTGGAAGGGAGAGAGGGAGTGGCTATGTGGATATTTGAGGAAGATCATTCCAGGCAAGGCTGGGGTAGGTGTGTGTTGGGAGGACTTGGGCTTTTACTCTAAGGGAAGCAGACAGCCATGAGAGGATTTTGAGCAGAGTTGTCAGCCTTTCACAATTAAAAAGTTCTAGGGGTCTGCCTTTTTCTGAGTGTATTTCTATAACTATTTTGATTATTTTAATAAAACTTGCTTTTTATTAGTGATCAATCATTTACTATGCTATTTTATGGCTCTCATCCCCTTTATTTCTCCAGTGACAGTATAAAATAGCCCTTTATTCTGATTAATGGTCTCAGAGGATTCAAAGTGGTATGGCAACCTTATTATGTTCCTCACCTTGTAAAGTCTGATTAGAACTGATTAGAAATATAGAAACTATATTTCATTAGAAAGTATCATGTGCTTATCAATCAAAACTATGAAATTGAACAAAAAATCTTGTATTTTCATTTTGCTTATTTTAATTGTGATACTAGAAGGTAAAATAAATAGTTAAGTACTACTTCTTCCATTTCCTGTTTAGAAAAGTTTCAAGAGAGTTTAATTTGTATGTTGCATACAAGTATATGAGAGCTCTATTTTAGATTATAGACTTCAGATACATAAGAGTTCTTATATGGATTTAGGTTAATGTTAAATTAAAAAATATATAACTACATATGAACAATTCAGTGTTTATCTCTGTAGTGATGTCTTAGTCTCGTTCTTCCCCTTTTGAAACACTCCAAATACTTCTGAAATGACTTTTTAATGTCTGTTCCCCCCAGACTATGAACTCCAGAAGAGCATGGAACATGTTTATCCTATTCACTTGCACTTACTAGCACCACTCAATAGGCAATAAATACATATCTGTTGAATTTAACTGAGGTATAGTATAATAAAGCTTAGTGGTGGTGAACAGCTTAGTAAATCCGTTGCTTTTTTTTTTTTTATCTTTAAGGAAAGAATCAGAATATACATGAACAGAGTCAAGGAAATAACAGACAAGAAAAAGGCTGGCAAGCTGGACAGAGGTGCAGCTTCAAGATTTGTGAAAAATGCCCTTTGGGAACCAAAACCTAAAAATGCATCCAAAGTTGCCAATAAAGGAAAAAGTAAAAATTAACCCTTTGGTTTTGATGTACACATATGTAAAAGTACATCACTTTTATTGTTTTCCACAAAATAGATGATTATGTGGCATTGCAAGGTTTAAATGTATTTGTTATTGAATCCATATATAAAATTTACATTTTAAATTTGTAATGCTAAATATTCTTTCCCCTAGAAAGATTAAGTTATCTTTATTGATTTTCCTATAGAACACAGTGAGGTTTTTAACATTGTGATATATTTTATATTTATAGTTTATTATCTCTCTTGACAAGACTCTTATTTCCTTATACAGGTCAATCTTTCAAGTACCATTTTATAAGCAACTATGAAATTTAAGTTAAATGTTCTTTGTAAACATTTGTCTATTTTAGTAAAAGGCGAAAGATTTATGCAATCTGAAGAGAAACCAGAGTATAACATTTGTCTATTTTAAATGAATGACTTTATGAAGTATGCTCTCTGAAGGCTAAAGTTATAAATACATCTGTTTTCACTATATAAAGAAAGAATGAAATGACTTAAATGCCCATTTCTTTCCTATATAGCTACTTCATCATGTTTTCATGATTTTGGGAATTATTGCTTTTTTTGATATTTGAAGTATGAAATTAAGACTTTAAGGTTATATTTTAATTCTTGGCAATTTGCCTCTATGTCCCATTTAAGGTAAAATATATTCTCATTAGCTTTAGTTGGGAAATGAAGCTGTATATTAATGGCTGAATTTTGGCATAATGGCTATACCCTATCAATAAAGGCTGTAAAGGTTGTATAGATGACTGTTTATTTTTCTCTTTTGTGTAAATTTGCCCTTGAAATTAGGAAGATAGGTTTTAGAGATTATTAGGAATAGAGAAACTCGAGTTTTTGTTGCTTATGCATCATGCCTATAGATCTTGTCTCATTTTTTCACATTTTTTGATTACATGGTTTTGAGGTGATATCAAGTACATACAAGTATTTTGGAACAACTTTCTATGTTTATGTAATGCCACACTTAAGGAGAGGACAAGTCCAAAGGAGATTATATTGTGTTTATATTCTGATTTATTTTTTCAGAATATTTGTTACAGAGAATTCTACATATTAAAATTTTTTTTAATGTCTAAGTCCTTGGATTTTAATTATATGCTCTTAATGCTTTCAGTTTTTGAATCCACATATCCACATCATTATTATAGGAATGCCAAGTACAGTAAAGTACTTTAATTTTTGAAAAAGAAGTTAAAATTTTCTATGTGATTAGTTCTGCATAAGTAACCTTGCATAAATGGATTTCCTGATTTATGGTAGAAGATGTTGGAAATGTCTTAAAATGTAATCGATTTTGTAAAGCATGTTGAACTCTTTCTATGACACATGAAGAGGAAGTCACTGATAGATGCAGAGTCTTCTGGCTCAGATGTCAGACAATTTTTGAAGTGGAAGAACATTTATAGTTACTTCATTACTTTTTTCACCCTCATCCTCTCAAATTTCTAGCTTTTTTAAAAAGTAACTTCTTCATGAGAGAAATAAATGTTATTATGAACAAGTGTAGTGTACATGTGTTATTTATTACAAAGAAACTTACAACTTGCATTTCTGTATATTTTCTAATTTCATAAAGAAAAAAATGAAAAATGTCATACAGTTGCAGAAAATCATTAGCCAAGTTAGGGTTTGTGAAAGTCCAACTCTAAATTCTGTTAAATTGGAGTTTCTTAGTGAATAATTCTTTCAGTGTTTTATTAGTAGAAATAAAAAACAGTTGAGTGTATTCCCTTTTATCATGTAGAATTTGAAATACATATTACCTGGCATGTTATCAGGAACTGAATGGTGGTAGTGCAGTGCGTGCTCATTTTTGTTGTTGTTTATTCATTTCACAGATATTTAATGACATTTACATTGCCAAATACTACTCAGGTTCCAAGGAAGACAACTCAAGCCTTTATTCTATTTTTATAAAGTGTTATGAAAAAAGTAGTCTTTTTGTTCAATTCAGGTTTTCAGAGTTACTAGAAAATTTATGACAAATTGTGCTCATTAACCTTAGTCAGAACCATAAAAGGTGATGGGTTGATCTATTTGTGGTATAGTTATTGTTAACATAGTTTTTTCCAAATGACAGTCTGCTCTAAGTTTAGATGTTAATCACATCTTTTATTAATCTCTTTGGAAATTAACAAGTTGGAGAGGTTATAGCTATAGATATTTTTAAGATTGGAATTATAGACTATTAATCTAATACTAAATAATGAGATTTTGTCTTTTAATATTATTTTAAGTACAATTTTCTTGTTAATAGTTGCAGGATGGGAATTCATTTTAGTAAAGTAGAATATATTAAGAGGAAAATTGAAGGTTGAATTATGGTTTACATTCCTGGAATTAGGAGGTTATGTCAAGTTGATTGGTTTTTAAGATACCCTACAGATTAAAAAATTGTTCTCCTTAGCTATTAGAAGTGGATTGGTATTATTTCTAAATAAGGCTTTTAAAATTGACTAGAAATGTAGGAAATGCTTCAAAAATGGACAATGTATTGAATATAGATACTAATTTCTTAAGTAGGTGATTGGAGAAAAAGATGCTCTAGGAATCATTCAGTTTATGATATAGTTAAACTATAATTTTATGCAGTAAATTATTAGACACTCTGGCTTTACAAAGTGACATTAAGTGAGAAAGATTTGAACAGTGATTCTGACCCTCATGTAATAGCTAAGTTTGGTATATAAAGGGAAGAAAAAGAAGCCCTTGGCATCTCATATTCTTCCCTCATAGCATAGTTCATAAACTTACCCTTGCCCAAATATATTCAATGGCTCCTTTACCAAATGACCTTGGTAGCAACCTATTTTATATAAATGTGATCTGAATGTACTGTACTAATAAAAACATTTCCTTTTCTCTGTATCCTGGTCTAAAACTCTTTGGTTTTGGAAATACAAACTACATTTTGTTTATTTTGTATATTAGCATTTTATAGTTGTCATTAACAATTATGTTAGGGGGAAAAGTATACAGGACTTCATAGTGGAATTCTGTAGATTTGTTCTACTTTGTTAATTTGCTATTATATTGCTTGTGAGCAGGATTTCAAGAAAATGCTTTGAATGTTTTTGGCTAGCAGATATGTTTTCCAATCAGAGTGAGCTGTCATAGAGTACTCTTTGGAGCAGCCACCCTCTGACTTGATGTGCCTTTTAAAAGTGTTTATTTTATGGCATAATTTTTAATATAGCCAGGAAGGATTAGTAAAGTTATCTAGAAAAGGGGATAGCTATAGTGATCTCTATTGGCAATTGAGGTTTAATTTTAATTCTGCCCCCCACCAAAAGGCCAAAACCCAAAACCAGTCTAGCTCTGTATTAGTCTTCTGTTCATAAAAGGTTGAGAAAAAAATGCTAGCTCCCTCCCCTCCCCCCATAAACCTTGAAGTTAAGCAAATGTATTGTGGCAGAATAACTGCATGCAAGATGTCAATTTTGTAAAGTGATTTATTTCAGACTGTGTACAGAATTTGATGGTGGGGAAAAATAAGCTTTTATAAATGAAACATTTAAGAGATGTTTTTTATTCGCATTTTTTAATTTTTTTTATTTTTTGCTACAATAAATGACTGAAGGAAATTGAAGATGATAATTCAACATTTCAAGATGCTTCTGCTGAAGTGAATGTAGACCTATCCAGGTTTATTTAAAGTTTATAGTAATATGGTTTTTTAAAGCCAAGTTCCCAGGAAATGATATGATTTGAATGAGATGATTAGGAGAAATAGAAAAGAATACTTTCAATCCCTTGTTATGTGGGTATTATCTATTGAGAGTGTTGAAAATGTTAGTGTAAAAAGAATAGAGGCTTGTTATGTACAATTTACTGTAGTGTGTACAATTCATCTTGGATCTTGTCCAAAGAAGTTTAGTTATTAAAATAGCAGAAGAATTATTGTAACAAGGAATCACCTGATTTAGTGCTACAGGAGTGGATTACTCATCAACTGTACTATAATGTATCTGGCTGATACTGTTTTCATTTAGTTCACCTTTGCTGTCTCTCTAATAACACATTCCAGGACTTACTTAAATCGAAATCATTTACTACTCTATTTCTGATACTTTCTTTTCTACTATCCTTCCCTTAAGAAAGAAATCATTAAAAATATGTATAATAGTTGCTGGGTTTTATGGGTTTTGACATTTGTGATTTTTAACCTTTGTGATTTTGACTATTTACGAGTGACCTTAGAAGTCCATGGGGTATACGGTAGTTTGCTATTTTGCCAAGGCATAATCCTAATTCCCGCTAAATGCCATGCAGAATGGCATTACTCAGCTAATGATGTGGCCTAGCAAGCCTCTCAGCAGCCAGTTTCTTCCCTGACTTATAGTCTCATGCATTTATTCACTCATTCATTCTACAAATATTTATACCTCTCCTGTGTGCCAGGTTCTATTATAGGCATGGGAAATTCAGCAGTTATCCGGACAATATGTAGTGATTGGAAGATGTCAAACTTTATCATGTGAAAATGGCTGCTATGGCTTGAATTGTGCTCTCCCAAAATGCATATGTTGAAGTCCTAACTCTCAATACCTTGTAATGTAACTCAGAAATAGGGTCAATGTGGATGTAGGTAGTGAAGATGAAGTTATTAGGGTGGGCCCTAATCCAATATGATGGGTGTCCTTATAAAAAGGGGAAATTTGAACATAGACATGCACAGGGAGAACATCAGATGAAGATGACGGCTGAGATCAGGGTGATGATTGTATAAGCCTAGGAACGCCAAAGATAGCTTGCAAACCACCAGAAGCTAAGTGAGAGGTGCAGAACAGATTCTCACAGCCCTTGGAAGGAACAAACCTTGCCAACAACTATGATGTTGTATTTGTAGCCTCCAGAGCTGAGAGAGCATACATTTCTGTTGTATAAGCCACCCGGTTTGTGGTACCCTGTTATGGCAGCCCTAGCAAATGAATATAATGGCTATTCTATGAGAGGAATTAAAAAGATTAATAATTTGCATATGAAAGTATGTGTAAGAAACTTTATGACACAAGGTGAGAGTGTAATTCTGAAGAAAACCAGGAACCTGTATAAATTTATTCAGGAATATTTTTGAGCAAAGATCTCAGGACTTAGACTTTGAAATGTCAAGGGTCTGTTAATACTCACTCTGAAGCCAAAATGCTCAGACTTTTCAGCAGACATTGTCAGTTATGATTGAGTGTGCCATCTTTTAAACTTGGTTTGAAGAAACTCATTTCCCTGAAGGAAAGAAAACCCTGTCAGGTTTCCATGGAGAGAATGTTTTCACCAAGCCTATTATGTGCTGTGTGTTCTTTTCCTAATACAATGCCACAGTCAGGTTCAAGTAATGAATATAAATACTTAACACATCTTACCCAAGCTGTGCTTATCCAAGAGCACAAGCCACTTAAGAAATCTCATATTGAATTCAGCTTGATAGAGTTTTTTAAAGTCATTCCCCCCCCCCAAATTCTAAACTGTATAATGTGCTATTCACATTATACAATTTACTGTACAATTTTCAGTTTTTTTCAGCTATTCAGTTTTCTTTCTTTAAAGTTAGGTATTAGAGAACTCAGAAGTGGGTTTTACTCTTACTGGTTGGGCCCAGTTTAAGATTTTTTTTTTAATATTTTAAATGCTGTGTATTGATGTTCAGTTTTTAGAATCAATCAGTAGATTTAAACATGGAAGACAAGAATGTAAACAAAATCCACCGTGACTATGTAAAAGTAAAAGCATATAGAATAGAAGTGAGTTTGAAATGGGGGAAGGAGGACATCATCATGGGGAGAAATCCAGATGCTGCACAACACTGATGGATGAATATGGTTTTACGTTTATTTCAGTAGTAAAGGTAATAGCTCTATTATTCTTTTTTAATTCTTTCATGAAAAACTGGAAGGAACTGGGGGGACTAGTATAAATTAAATCCTTATTTTTAGGATGGGGAGTCAGATGAGGGCCAATGAAATTGTAGTGTAGATACACATTATGAAGGTAACCACCAGAATTAAAGACAGAAATGATTTGAAAGTGGTAATTCCTCACTTGGAATGAAGATGAAGTGGGAGCACAGCTTTTTTTTTTTTTTTTTTTTTAACATGGTTTGTTTGGTAAAAAGATGTGAGGAAGTTGTACTAATGAGCAAAACATTTGTTCAAAGAAGCAGCATGACAATTGGATAACCCGGTGAATGCTAGTTGTTTAGTTTTTGAAATGTTAGGCAATAAGTAAATATATCAGTGAAATAATATAAGAATGCTTAAGTGTGCATACATATATTTCATTGTTTTAAAAAACCCCTCAAACACCCGTATATAAAAATGTCTTTAGGCATTTAATAATCTTCCTACATTTGAATGCAGTTTATTTTTAATTTTCATTTTAGACAAGTTAAATTCCAGTTATAGCTAGAAAATAAGAATTTTTATTTTGAAGTGGCTCTCTAGTGTGCCTTCCATGTTCTTTGGAAACTTCTAAATGTTATTCAAGATAGACACCACAATGATAGGG